AATGATGTGTTGCTGGAACCCTTCGAGGTTGGGGGTGATATTGTCAATAACGTTGGGGTTCGTTCTCATGTCGGCTTCATCGCTGAAATCGTCGTCGTCGTCATCTTCATCATCCAGGTCGGCATGTTTGGTTTTGGCTAGGGCTGCTACAGGTGGACCTCCTGTCTCACGCTTCCACATCGATACGAGAGTAGGATGGCTTTCTGTCTGCATGCCAGCTGGGGTGGGTTTAGGAAGTTCGGATTTGCTTCGGGGGCGGCGTATTGACTTTTTCACGGAAAGACCACTAAAGGGGCTTTTGGGTGATGTGATAGAACCGCCAGGGGTACCGCTGCCACTAACAGAGCCGCTTCGAGCATGCGTGGTTCCAATGGATGCAATGTTGCTCCCCATGGAAGCAATCGCTGTGTTGATAGAAGGCATGGGTTTCTTGCCCCAGCTACCGATGCGGTTTGGTGGTGCAAGGTGAGAGACGCTGTCTCCTCGCTTTGAAATACTATCACGCTTCGAGTCTTGGCTCCCTCTACCTTCACTGCTTGGTAAGCTCTCCTCGTCGTTCCCACTGCTGAGAGTACGCTTGAGACGAGACGCGCTGGGTCGCCGCACCAGTCCTCGAAGATCTCTAAGGAGACTTCCCGGTTTGCTTGACCTGCTCTCTCGACTGCTTGAGAGCTTTTTCAGAATACCACCACTGGTGCCATCGGTCATGTCAAGATCGAAGACACTAGGGAGACTTCGCCGACGGGTTCCCCACGTTGCTGCTCTCGACAGAATGGAATCAGTATCGCGATACATCCTCTCGAATCTCTCCATGGCAGCAGCTGATGACTCAGGTTGGTTTCTTCCCGGCTTTCCCCGGCTGATAGAAGGGAACATAGGTGCGTCGGCCCAGTTACGGTCAGCAGCGATGATGTCGCGGTCTTGTTGGCTCATTTCGCCCTGGTCACGGTAGTAGGTCTGGCCGGGGATGAACTTATTCTCAGTCTCCCGGCCAAAGGGAATCATATGGTCATGTGGATCGTCTCGTTGGCTGTCCAGTTCGTTGATTTGGTCTCGTGAGTTGTCGTCTGGCGTCACTGAGAGGTCGTTCATCTTGTCGGCCAGCCAATCACCTACGATTATTTTACGTTCATCGCCATCTCGACGAGTTGCGAGCTCATTGATGCTTGGCACTTCGTCGGAGGGGCGGTTGTTGGGGTCAAGACCAGATTGGCCTGTTAATGGGTTCTGCTGCCATCTGCCGGTCGGGTCACGGGCAGATGAGTTGTCTCCGGAAGATATCAAATCTCCGGCAGACTCAAACCCTCCGCGGACTGTGGTGGGGCTGTCTTCGAAATTGCGCTCAACAGAGGTATGAGCAGTAGTCTCATCATGGTTGTCCCACATGGAGACAGTAACACGAGGGCTCGTCATGGTAGCGATACCTGGGGCAAGGCCGTCCTCACTGGATCGGCAGCTGCTACTGTGACTCGGTGTCAACTCAGACGTTTGTGTGTTAATTGGGTGAGGGTTGAATCGTTTTTGAATCTCTTGGGGTGAGATACAGTTGGGGAGCTCTGATGGCGCGGATCCTTTGATAGCGTATGAGAGATCAGCCTGAGGTGGTGTAGCATGAACAGATGCCGTCTGCTCGGGCGTCAATGGATATGTGCCAGAGTCCACGTCTTTATCTGGCATAAGGCCTGGAGTAAAGGAGGACTGGTCCAGTCCGTTCAAGTCCTGTTCTAGGAAGTTTGGGGCACCTCCATCAGCGTTGAAGTCGGCACCGAAGAAGGGATCGTCGTCTAAATCGCTGAAGTCACTAGCTTGGTACTGACCCAAGCTTGAGGCGGAATCGGGTGTCTCGAGGTAGTTGATCGGGGAGAGTGAGTCGCTATCCACACGCGACAGTGTCGTAGGAAGTTGATTCGAGTTGAAGGCTGAGGTTGGTGCTTGCTGGTTCGAGGTAGTGAAGGGTTGATTATCCTTGTCATGAAGACTGGAAGGTGGTACATCAAATGTGGAAGCCATGGTTGCGATCAAGTGTAGGAAGGAGCTGAAGTATATATGCAACAGGTGGACCTTGACTGGGCGAGCTCCCGGAGTCAGATCACAGGCTAGCGAACATAGCCTTCGAGGTGATACAGCAATGGAGTGGAGTGGATCGGCTCAAGTGCAGAGGAACTATCGGAGCTGCAGAAGAAATGCCGTTGAGATCCCAAGGGTCGTTCCGCCTCATGAACAGAGAAAACAGAGTCTACCGGGAGATTTGAGAACGACAAGCGAAGGATTGCAGTGTAGTATCCCTTGATCAAGAATTATGAAAGAGAAGAGAGAGGAGGGGAAGAGGGCTGAAGTTGGAACGCGGCGTTGCGCGCGAAAGCGGATCAAAGAGCGCTTAGGGGTGCCTGCTTAGTACCGCAACTAAAAAAGCACAGTACCTATGCCAGATGCTATAGGTACCTAGTTAGTCCAGGGTATCGAATGCGACAAGCAACAGCTCCAGTTCAGGTATGGAATGCGAAAGATGTACGGATAAGATCGGCGTGAAATTATGGTGTGCGGAGCAAAGCAGGACTGAAGTGGTCAACCGTCCAGGACACGAGCGATGGGGCAGCTTCGCGCTTTGCTGATTAGATGCAAGGTGTACAAGGTGTGCTACTGTATGCTGTTGGTTGTGATATGATCGCAGGAGGGGCTCGCGATTGAAATGGAGATGAAGTACGGATACAGGCAAGTTGGCGGCCATCCAGGAACAGGTCAAAGTGCAGCCAAAGGCAGACCGGAGGGCAGACAAGAAGAGATTGTGTGAGGCTTGATCAGTCAGAGCCGGCGTCTTGGTTAAGGGAAGTCCAGACGAAGGCGGTAAGATCGTACGGTACGGTAGTTGGTACAATAGATACATGTAGGGTCGAGAAACAGAACGAGGGGCATTTTATGCGCAGGCGTGACATACAGTACAGCCTGCGCCTGGTTCCTAGGTAGTCCCCAGTCTCTTTAATCTGGCGCTTGTGTGATGCATTTGTTGGAGGAGGTGGTGGAGTGGAGGAGCGCCCAGCTGCAGGGTTGCGGATGGAGACTCGTTTGCCAATAGGCGGGCCGTCGGGGAAACGGTTATTTGATGTTTATGGATTTTGGTATCAACTGATGCTGCGATACTTGAGCCGAGCACTGGCATGCGCCATAGGATACTGGTATTCCTCTATCGATCGCGTTATGCATGCCCATCCTAGCCATCCTTCTTGACGAGGCATTCTCGAATCTCAATGGGGGGCTCTGCTGCCAAGGCGCATTCACCAAGCCCCACGCCCCATTATGAACCCTGGTTCCAGCTCGTCCATCGCCTGGCCATTCAGGAACTTGAAGACAAGTCTCAAGGCATTTTCCTATTTCTGGTTTTGCATTTCGAGTATCTTGTGTGTGACGGGTATTGCGGAGCTGCCGGTCATTGTTCGACTTCGAAGAGGTACAACGGTTAACTTGATTGCAAACAGTCTCTACTTGTCGTGTCGCACCAACGACTCTCACCAGCCTTGTAGGGTTTCCTCGATGTCACTGCCGATCTGAGACTTGTCTCAGTGACAAGACACGAGTTTCCGTATAAACAGCCTTGTGCCTTGCTTGTTGGCCGACCCTCCTAGATTCCAGGCATCCATTTCGAAAAATTGAGCTGGCATGCTTCAGTTCTTGACAATGTTAGTTTTTCCACTTTGTCTCAAGGCTGAGACCAAAAGTCGCTACAAAACACAGCCTCCCGGGTGCTGTGCATGCATGAGCCTGCCTGTCAGGGCCTGACAAATGTTGGCGATCAACAGATCACAGTTCGATGCATTGCATATGGTTGGTTGCTACAAGGTGGATCCCCCCAGTTGTCTCGCTGTTAATTCCGCTTTAATTACCCTTGATTCCGTAGATGCATACTCAAGACAAGGTGAGGGTATAGATAGTTTACAATGGTAAGAAGGCTAATACATCTAATAAGAGGGATATAATTACTGAGTATTGAGCGATCTTTGTCATACAATCTTTAATAGTAAATAAGGAAATTTTGATATATAAGTGCAACCTCTTCCATATATCTTAGAAACTAATTACTATTTTTAAATGATATATGACTATAATACGGAGTAGAATATTTCTAACCCTGCAGCCTCGCCCGATAGACTAATCGTTCGGCAGAGTTTAAATGTGAGTGTTTCGCCTGCTTAACCTTTTAGCATTGTGACATTACCGTAGTCTCGTCTTGGTGGTGGATCGCTTGAGCTGGGCGACCCTTTAAGGCTGGAAGCGACAGCCCAGAGTAAACCCGGTCATAATTAGACAATGACCCAAATGTGACGTCAGAATCTTTGGAGCATAATTGTCTCCCCAGTGTTCCTGGCGGAAGTCTCGTAGGGCTGGCTCCTTTGGGGGCGAATCTGCTGGCCAAGACGGGGCTTTTGAAGGTGCTTGAAGAGGTGATTTCGTGGGAGGAAGAGTGTGTCACAGATACCGCACGTATAGACTCGACAGTCTGTTTCATAAGGGGCCTAATGTACATATACACCTCAGTAGGTAGGTGCTGGCCAAATGGTCAGGGAGAAAATGGCTACCTAAGTCGAAAGCTTCGGTTGATCACGTAGTAAATCATAGGCAGCAGAAGGAAGTAACACATCAAGCTTGTAAGTTACGGTATGAGGACTGCTTAAGTGTAGCTCTATAACTACTAACCTAGGTACTTACCTTACATAGGTACCTATGCTGGGTTGCTTTCGGCCGGGTCGTCGTTCCCCAGCAACTCAGAAGCAAGAAAATATCAGGCTATAAGATCAGATATTAGGATAAACTTAGCAAATGTATCCTAATAAACTTATGCTAATTTACCTAAATCTTTTTGTCATTTAGGAATTATAGGGAAAGTTTAGACCAGTTCTCGCTTAGTCACCCATCTTGAGGTCCCACATTTCAATCAACAACCTTGCCTAAATGCTTTTTTTTTTCGGTCGCTTTTTGAAAAGTGAGGTACGACATATAAAATCATCATGGCCCATGATTTAATATTTTCCGACGCCCCAACCCGCGAGCAACGTAAACATCAAGCTCGTGAATTTGATTTGCTTGGGAGCGAAGATCCGGCAGAAAGCAACCCAGCAGCAGCTCGCATTGTTCTCGCATTGCTCGCGCCTGATGTCTCTGAGACCGTTCTTCAACAGCAGTTAGATCGTCGAATCCTGCGCGCTCTCGCTAGTGGCCGCCATGCCTCGCGCCTCGGATTCAGCTTAGTACTCACCAATCTCCTCAAAGCGCTCTTTGGAGAAGCAAATCTTGCTCAGACTAGATTTCCTAACCTCGGTTTTGGTGAAGTCCTTCAGTTACTTACCAAGAACACCAAAGCCAGCGGCGGCAGCATTTCTGGGCAGGAAGAGAGGGACATCTTGTTTGGCCGCCTGTTCGGACTCTACGCTTTCATCGAATCTGGAATTTTGTTCGCCAATGTCACGAGATGGCATCTGGTCCTCAAGCTCATTCTGGACCTGTCTGGCAAAAAGCCGTGGATGCAGCCGTTGTGCGGGCATCACATCCTCGCCGCCTTGAAACAGATGAACTCGAAGCAAGCACTGGATACATTGAGTAAACTCGATGAAGCGAATGTAGCAAAGACACCGGAAGGAGTCGCGGTCTGGATCTTTGCGCAGACTAGATTCCCCGGTCTCAAGGTCAAGTATTGGCAGGTACCCTTTGACAAGACCGCGATTGGTGACCTCGTTGCGATTCTCCGAGAAAGCTTAAAGGATTCTGGCCTGGACGACATAGAACCTAGTCAGCAGATCAAGCTTGCTGGCTGGAATCCTATACTGCACCCGGCCTGGAGTGTCATTCTGGAGTACTTTGTCAATGCGGGAGAAAGTGGACTCGAAGTGTTTAAGCGCTTCTGGACTCGTGTCGTAGATGGTGAGTCGCACGAAAACCTTTGCATAGCGGCCGCTGATATTTACTAGACTCACTTTTCTCGCAACGTGCTACGGATGGCCAGAAATTCAGAGGGTTTCTGGTGTTCCAAAAGATGCTCCAGGGCTTTATTGATCTTGGTGATCACATTGAAACTCTCTTCAGCAAAAACTTTATGTCCTGCCTCATGAACCAAGTTTCACGAAGGGAGAGATATTTGTACAGAGCAGCGACCAAGACTCTTACAGTGATCGAGTCGACGACCTCAAATCACAAACAGACACTTATTCCCATTCTCAAGTGCCTCCTAGGCAAGAATGGAGTCTATAACTTTGACGAAAGAACGAATACCAAGACTATACACAAGCTTTTGAAGAACACATCTGAATCCACTGGCAAAACCATAAGCAAGATCATCCGAAAACCCCTCGACACAATTGCTCAGGTAGGCAAGGGTGAGGCTTCGGCCATACTCCGAGCCCACGTTCGTTATCTGTCAGAAGTTGGTAGTATGTGCAGCTCACCTGAGAACGTGTCGTTCCCAGAGAAAACATTCTCTAGCGTCTCACTAGAGCTCGCCCGACTGGCATACTACCAAACCACAAGCATTCCCGCAGAGATCCTAACAGAGAGTGTTCGCGAGATGTACCGGACTTCTCTTGCATCAGTGTTGGCCAAGGCCAGTGGGAGAATAGAGAGTTGCGATTCGGTATGCCATGTCGTATCTTCCTTGGATATCGGCTCGATGGTTTTGTCCGAAGAGCTTGAAACGGCTGTCCAGCAGGCGCTATCAAGGATGGAGATGCTGCGCAATCATAGCAAGTCAGACGACACGAACAAAGGCCTATTTGGAAGTATCGCCTTGCTGCATGCCGTAGCTGTCTTGCGGGTGTATAATGCGGAGCCTGATGCTATGGAAGACCTCGAGTTACTTAGTCAACATTCTGGTGATTGGAAGGAGGGCAAATTCGCAAATGGCGATGGCGATACATCGGTGGCTCTCATCGAAATGTTGTTGTCAATGGTCGTGCAGCCTTCATCTCTGATGAGGCAAGTTACGCAGCAAGTATTTGGGGCCTTCACACCACACATCTCTGCTGCAGGTTTGGAGCTCTTGACCGGACCCCTCACATCTGGCGAGAATACCAAAGGTCAAAAGGAACTGTTCAGCAATGGGGACGATGAGATGGAGGTCGATGAGGATGAGGACGAAGAAGGAACAGATGATGATGAGGAGTATGACTCGGATATCGAGATTGCTTCTGATGTCGAGTTCATTGATATCAAGGAGGTAAACGATGAAAGTGGGGAAGAAGAAGAAGACGATGACGATGACGACGACAACGACGGACCAAAAAGCAAAGGCGAATTCGACAGACCCGAGGATTTGGACAACGAACTCGAGAAGATCCTCAACAGTCATCGACTCGATAAGGACGTTGATGCCGCGTCATCAGAGTCCGAGGGCGATATGTCTGACTCTGAAATGTTCGCCATCGACGAGCAGCTCGCAGCAACTATCAAGCCACGCATTCAAGACCCCTCGAACAGCTCCAAGAAGCTAAAGAAGAAGGCCAAGCAATCGGTTCTCAATTTCAAGAACCGGATTCTTGATTTGCTCGACATCTACGTTCGCAATGAGCGCTGCAACGCTCTGTCATTTTCTCTCCTCCTACCCCTGCTTGATTGTATGCGCACAACCAGCACCAAATCCCTAGCTGACCGTGCGAGCAAGGTCATCTCTAACTACCGAAAGCATCAGAAAAAGGCCATCTCTAACTTCCGAAAGAGCCAGAGACAGGGACAGGCCACCAGTGACGTCCAAGAGGTTCAGATTCTCGAACCTGATGACATGCTAGACTTGTTACGCGAGATCCATAAGGCAGCCGGTCAGAACGACTCACACGCTTACGCAAAAGCGGCCAGTTCAGCGAGTCTCATCGTGGTGTCGGCCCTCTTCGCTGCGGACAAGGCCAAAATGGAGGACGTTGTTGTTATTTATGCCAAAACACAAGCGAGCTGTTTTTCCCAGAAAACCAGGTTGCAGTCCTCTTTCCTCGATGAGTGGCAAGACTGGTACCGAAATGCACTGCAACAAGCTCGGATCTGATACCCTATAATAGACATAATTCATAGATAGACGGGATGAATCGAAACCAGTTACCCTGACTTTGATCCTAGATGACAAAAAGGCTTAGGTAACTTAGTATAAGTTTAGGATACCTTTACAATACTTAGGATACCTTTAATGTATTTAGGATACCTTTGCTGTTTTAGGATACCTTTTGTTTAGGATACCTTTGCTGTGTTTAGGATACCTTTGCTGTGTTTAGGATAAATTTGCTGTGTTTAAGATCCTTTTTCTATCTTTGTTTTGACACCTTACGTCAGGGTCCGATGTTTTCTTGCTCCCCGAGGGTTTGAGAGTAATTCGAATGCCTGCAGATGAACTATTAAATTCTAAGAGCTCGTCATCGTGATAGTACAGGTGCCTTGGTTTTTCTTAGCATAACTCTCCTAATCCTCCATCTTATCATCCTCTGCATCCTCATCTTCGTCGTCGTCATCATCATCCTCGTCCTCGGCCTTTGCTAATCGTTCAGCCTCTTCCCGTAGCTCCTTTGGCACCTCAACATGTCGTCCCTTGGTAGGGCCGTCAGGCCCACTGATCCAGGTCATCTCCAACTCGAAATCTTTATCCTTGTTGTCCTTCTGCGCAATGTAGATGATGCGCGCAGCCTGCTTCACAGCTTCCTCTAGAGTAATGTTACCAGCAGGTAGGTCAAGCTTCTCCAACTCAGCCTTGGCAGCCTGTCGACCCTTGCCTGTAGCCGCTCCGTAGTAACCCCAGTACATACCGCTGGGCTCGATCATGTAAAGGAACGGACCGCCGTGCTTGCCCTCGATCTTGCCACCAGCGCCAACCTTAGGTCCTGAGCCAACCTCTCCATCAACAGGGGTCTCCTCGGGAGTATCGTAGCCACCCACGATAGCGGTGATACCAAATGGTCGAACTGATCCGTACATGGTGTAGGCCTGAAGGTAGCCACCCATGCGGCTGGCAAGATCGGATGTGGGGATGGGGGTCTTGAAGTTCTGTCGCCAGCTCTGGGCCTCGTCGCGAGCTCGATCAACGAAGTGACGTCCATCAGGGACCATACCAGAAGATACCTGGTGAGATTAGTACAAGCTCATCCTAGCCATTGCAGGTAGGTTTACGTACAGCTCCGACATGGCTATCGATAGTTGCAATACGCTTGTTGGCACCGGGTTTTAGGAGCTTGGATGAGACGACCTTCTCGATAGCTAGGACAACGCCATCCTTAGCTCGAATACCGATCGAGGTACCGCCATTCTCTACTGCCTTGACTGCGTATTCGACCTGGAAGTTGCGTCCATCAGGAGAGAAGATGGAGTTGAGCAAATCATAACCCGTGCCTATCGATGTCTATAGCGTGAAAGACAAGCTAGGTCAGCACTTGAAGCTGTCTCTCGATGACGACAATCCGGCTTGAGGGATTGGAGGGGTTAGCTTACCATGATGTCTGAATTTTCTGATCAAGTGGAATAGCGTGATGCGAAAGGCAAGAAAAGATGGGGTGAGAATTGGTGACGTGGAGGGGAGCTGTGTTGTCGAGATATTTGCGACGGTGTTGACTTGGAGCTTCCTTCACCCAGGCAGCCTGGAGCTGCGTGTTGCAGTTGAGGTATGGTACCTACCTGCAAGGCTGGAGAACTGATGCCTGAGGTGTGAAAGAAGCGCGCGGTAACTGAGCGCCACGTTTCGCACGCCACAATTCAGCTCAGCCTTGAGAGTTGGCACACACGTGGCTGTGAAAGCGGGAGTGGCGGATCCCTCTAGCTCTTCCCGCGTGCATCGATCTCCCCTGCAGGAGGAGACCTTTCATGGATATAGAGTCTAGAACTGCACATCAGACATCCACGGATCGCATGCAGTGGACCAGCCTAGGGGAGCAAGAAAACATAAGATTTAAGAAGAGGGTGCTAAAATGAACCTAGTAAAGAGTTCCCTAAGCTTAGGCTAAGTTACCTACGTCTTTTGGTCATTTAGAATCAGGTCTTGGGACGGAATCGACATAACATGATGCTCCATTATAGCATGATATTTCTTTCACAACATTCCTCTAATACCACTCATATATATCACTCGTGGATGCTTTTTAATACCTCATATAGTCTATGACCACCGCAACTTTGACGCTTTGAAAGGCTAAGGGAGAAGTGAGACCAGGCTAACATCGAGACTGAAGTTAAGCACGCCGTCAAGTTTGCACGTCTCTTGCCAAGACAGGTAAGAGCTTGTAGCGTCAACAGTTGAGGACCAAAAAATACCACTATATAAAACATTATGGGGCATAGGCATGGCTGTTTTGTAGCTGGCGGTGAGTCTCATGTTTGTTGGAGCCTAGGGGAGCTGATTAGGGTAGTGAAATATCTGGAGATTTCCATCTCATGCTGCCCAGGTGTATTTTGATTCACAAAATGATATGCACGGCCCAGAATGATTGAGAACGTGGCGAAACTGAGTGAACCACGTCAAAGGAGATGATTCGGAAACGGAATGCAGATGTAACAGACGACCATGTCGGCGTTAAGCTAGAGCATAGGGACAGTAATTAGTGTGTTACGGTCGCCTTGTGGCACAGGCTTATTGGGTGGTACAAGGTCAATAAGACCAGGGTTTGAAGCTCTCGGAGTTGGAAGAATGCAAATCCTTCTGTGAAGGCGTGAATGAGGCCAGTGAATATGGTATCGGTGCCTCGACAGAGGACAGATATCTGAGAGCAATATTACCTGGGAGCGAAGATCAACAGAACAAATGATGCACCAAAAGCGTTAAGTTTAGTGCTTGATGGTGAATGGAAGTGGATGTTGTCATAAAGCCCATCATGTGCCTCTGTTAGTTGGGTCTTTACTGCGTCATGACCTGAGAAGGGTGCCTGAGCAAATGAAATGGCAGGTGTGTGTCCCACTGAGCCGTCCCACGTTTCATACCTGATGAGAGGTCCTACCCCTCCATGTTAGTACGTTTTTTTTGGATACCTAGGTAGAAATACCCCCCGCGCTTCCATCACCTACTCCTGAGAATACTCTTGATTCTTCACGTTAACAGCGCTCGCCTTTATCTGGACCTGAATAAGCTTCACAGAGCGCCTCTTCGCTTCAAAATTCTCATCTTCCCACTTGAAAACTGCATAAAGAACCCCCAAAAAGATCCTCTCAGGCGTTATCTCCCCACTCACAACTCACTTCCCTTCCCCGTGCGGTCCCTGCAACTCGACCCAACGGTCCACCGCTCCTAGACAAGCCCCTCCAAGTCAAGGCCTAACCAAGGGTCTCTTGAGCCAAAGAACAAGAGACAAACCTCTCTTTCTTGACTCAACATTTTGTTATACATATCTCGCTTTCTTTCTCTATTGACCTCGTCTGATTTCCTTTGACTACTTGTCAAAAAGCTTAGCTTAGCTTCCAAATATAACAAAGAACAAGGGCAACCTCCTGTTCCTTTCTTCATCTGCATTGCGCATGACCCCGAAACACCTCCGTATATCGCTTCATTTCGAATTCGCTGCTTTCTCAACCAGGCTTCCCCAAGACGCATCGAATTGAAATAGGCAGACGTACCCAAGAGCTACAGTCGTCGTCTCTTTATTCTGATATCAAACCATAAAGCAACAACTTCTCGTGCTCCTCCTGCTGATACATATAACCGCACCACAGTTGGTATTCAGCAACTACCCTTGAACTCGATATTATGGATCAACTGCTAACAACCCTCAGAAACAATAAAACCAACCATGTCATTTTCTCCGTCCACCATGCAACAGGATGAGCTTGCTGCTCTCCTGGCCCGGAACCTCAGCTTCAACCCAATTCCCGAGCCTACCCCTGCACCGCAACAAGAGTCCAAGGCCGATCATGCTGAGCCCATCATCTATACTTCAGTCCACTACACCCACTCTGCACACATAGCTCAAGCAGCTCAACACCAAGACGTCCCTCGCCGTGCTTCAGAGCCACCCCAGACGCAAGGGCCCAGTGTTGAAGCTATATTGCAACACCATGGCGTTGATCCAGCTACTCTGACGCCTTCACAGCTTCAGCTGTTCAAAGTTGCCGAGCCTTCTCAGCAGGAGAGACTTATTGAACTTTGGAACATTTGCCCCCCCGGAAACGGCGGCGATATCCCAGCTCTCGCTTGGAGTAGCACCACTGTGGAACATGAGGAGCAGCTTGCCCGCTTGCGTTACGAACGACTGAACCAGCAGCAACAAGTGATGAGTCTGGATGGTACCCAAGTTCAGGCAGTTGATGGTAGGTGGGTTCGTAACTCAGAGCCTGAGGTCGAACCATACATGACTTCTGGCTACGAGGAGATGATGCGAAGAGAGCGCGAAAGAGAGACCCGGGACAGCCAACCCCGGAGCACCTATGGCCTCTACTCACACGCCACAGACCCTGTATACATGGGTCCGGACTACGCTCGTGAACAGCAGTTACTGGACATGGCAACTCAGTACGGTGCTTACCAAGGATTCCGAGCACCGGAGGTGGACACTATGGACGTTATGTAAATAAACGTCGTCTGTCCAGACCGAGCAGCATAATGGTATGACCAAGTGTTCAATGGTCAATCTACATAGAAGCTCGGGATGGCGATAGGATATCATATAAGGTGGACAACTTATACGCCAATGTGCGTGCAGGAAAGGGATTTGTTGGTAGAGCCATGGGCTGTCGGTCATTGTTTGGGTTTTGTTGCTTAGTATGGTTATCATGTCACTGGATGAGTTTATCATGAGAGACTGGCTTCCAAAGGGGAGGAAATAGGGTGGCGTTGGTGGAACTTTCATTTTTTTTTTTTTGCTAATCATTTTGCTCCCTCTCTCAGTATCGCCCTCGTCCAGTACTTGCAGTGTATGCTAACAATTAGTTATACCTAGAGAGAGTATTTGCAAGGGCGGCAGTATTGTTCGTCACAGGTACGTCGTCCCTTTCAACACCTGCCTCACGGGGCTGCAACTCACTCAATGTGCTCCCTGACTGTGATATTTCACACATACTTCCTGGCAGTATAGGTAGTATCTAGGCCAAACACTCACCCACCATGTATGTACCTTATCCAGCAAGAATCAATAAAGAAGCTTTTTGATCAACACTGTATGTTTTCGACTTCCTAAAACTGCTGGTTTATGAGTAACAATTCACGTTCATATCTTTATTCTGGCTGTCCAAGTTATTGTAAAGGGGTATCAAATTCCATTCACGCCTTGTGAAGTGAATGGTCATCATCATACAGTTCATCTATATCCATGTTTAAATTCCAGTCTTCTCGAGCTTCTTTGCCAACTCATCCACCTCCTTGTCCTTGACAGGAATAACAGGTTCCTCTTGAGCCTCCTCAGCCTCCTTGATCAACTTCTCGGCTCGGTCCTCAGGCTCAATCTCCTCTTCCTCCTCTTCCTCTTCCTCCGCGTCACTGTCTGGCTCCTCAAGGTCTTCCAGCTCGTCAACACCCCATTCATCCTCGTTGACAATATCACCACCGAACTTCTCCTTGCGCTCCTCGAGAAGCTCCTGAAGGACGGGAATCGACTCGTCGTCCTCTGTGAGAATATTGCCGTTGATTTCAATTCGCTTCAAAGCAGGGAGACCATCTTTGGCGGCAGTGGCGAAGGCCTTGATGCCCTTGGAGGTGATTTCGTTGTATTGCAGGCGCAGGATCTCAAGTTTCGCATTCTTGCCCTTGGCCAGAGCATCCGCTACGAGGACACCGCCCTTAGCACCAAGTAGGGAGTCACCAACTCCCAACTCCTGGAGTGAGGTCCAGTTGGCAACAACCTTTGACAGAGCTCGGGCACCAGTGACGGTGAAAGTGTTGTCCTGCAGGTCGAGGACCTCGAGTTTGGAAGCGTGGCTGAGACCTTCGGCGAGAAGGTGGGAGATACCTTCTTGTCGAATGCCGTTCTGAACCATCTTGATCACCTTGATCTTGTTGTGCAGCTTGTAGGCCTTTGCCCACGCCGTCATGCTTCCATTCTCCAATCGGTTTCGGCCGCAAATAACAGTCTCAAGATCGGGAACTTCCTTTCCTTCCTTTCGGGCAGTCTCCTTCTTGGCGTGAAGCTCGGAGAGCGCATCGGCGATGAGGATACCAGCGTGAGGGCCCATGCCATTGTTGTTCAAGTAAAGGTGCTGCAGTGGCACGTGGGCGGCCAGGAAGGCCACGAGAGGCGCTTGGACATTCAAACCAAAGGCATTGTCATTCAAGTTGATAGTGTTGAGCTTGGGAAGATTGAGGACGGAGGTGAGCAGCGAAGAGATAGCGTCGGGGATCTCGCTCAGGAGTCGGCCGGTAAAGATATCGGCGAAGTTTGCGACCTGGAGAGAAGTGTATTGGTAAGCTATGACAGCCAGGGAAAGGTGATGTTTGACGTACTCTCAAGTTCTTCTTGGTCGCAAGAACCTCGCCAAGGAGCTTGCAGGCGCCAACACCCAGAGTGTTGCCCAAAATACGAACTTCTTCGACGTCTGCGGATCGAAGAGGGGCAATATGAGGCTCGAGATCCTCAGCAGTGTCGAGCTTGAGGCCCTTTCCCTCGAGGGAAAAGATCTTATCGGAAGAAGCCATTCTATAGTAAATTGAGAAAAGAGGATTTCGCACAGAATCGAACAGCAAAGATGGTGACTACCAAGTCTGAAAGGAAAAGTCGGTTTAATAAAAACAAAAGAATGTCGCCGTGTTTGGTGTGAAGATGAATCGAGTCAAGGTGGGGGTGGGGTAGCAGACAGAATTAGGCAGTAGTTAGGCTTCTTGATCAGGTTTAGAGCATTTCCTAACTTTTTTATGTAATTTCCCATTGCCATGGGCAGCAGAGCTAGGTTCCTACGTATTGCTTGGAGCAGCTTGGAGTGTGAGTGACTATGAACAGACAAGAATAAGGTATCACTCATCTCATTTGATCATTTGAAGATGGTTTGATACATTGAAACATTATACAAATGGTCCGCTTTCTTAGGATCTCATAGTCAGAATTTCCATACCTGTAAGAACTACTTTTTTCCATACGATTGTTTCTTTTGTCCTATACAAACACTACTACCGTAGTAGTAGGTATCCAGTAGGCTGTTAGTATCCATTGACCAAAACGAACCCGACTTCAACCCGGGAGTCGGAAAAATTTGGAACACTCACTCATCGGAAGTCACCTGGCCGCTCAGCCGAGCAAGGCAAGAGTGGTCGAACACGTGACATTGATCCGACCCGCATCCAATCAGAGCCGGCTTATTGGAACGCTCGATAGGATTTTGTCTGATGCTGCTAATGATCTCTGTTTGAGCCCTTTTGTCCTCCGACTCCGAGAACGACCACCTCCCCATCTCGCCGTCTCATATTCGATCGCACCAGCGACGGTATAGCTCGCCCACAATGCTTGCCAGGTCGTGTTTGCGCTCGACGCGCACCTTCAATGGCCTCCGGAACGGCCCTTCTGCTGTCACCAAGGTATGGCACGATCCTACCACCTCTGCCAGCGAGCTTCCCGTTTGCCGAGAGATCATAACCACGAACCTCGACACGCCCCAGCCACGCCAATCGCAATAGAATGCGCCTCAATTGCATGTACACGATTGCTAACCCCCATTTTCTTCCCAGCGTGCCGCTTCCTCAAGCTCCAGCGCCGCCAGCGATGCCTCTGCCACTCGATTGAACCTGGCTGCCGCCGCCTCGACTACCCTCGCCCTCGGCTCCATGGCCTGGTACTATCACCTCTATGGACCTGTTGCCTTTGCTATGACTCCCGCTGAAGAGGGGTACGTGATACTCTCGGTTCTTGATTGTTGTGTTTCTGGATCATCTCAATTAGGATGATGAGGCATAAATGCTGGCTATCGATGATCCGCACTGTTATTGCATCACCAATTGCTAACAGTGCCCATATAGACTTCACGCTACCAAGTACCCTTGGGTTCACAACAAGTGGTTCAAGACCTTCGACCACCAGGCGTAAGATGCCACCGATCCTGTTAAACACGCCGTGTCGAATTACTGACCCCCTCGTAGTCTCCGCCGTGGTTTCCAGGTTTATCAGGAGGTCTGCCAGTCCTGCCACTCCCTCAGCCGAATCCCCTACCGAACTCTCGTTGGCTCCGTCTTGACCGTTGACGAGGCCAAGGCCCTTGCCGAGGAGAACGAGTACCCCGGTGAGCCCGATGAGCAGGGCGAGATCCAGATGCGCCCCGGAAAGCTGGCCGATTACATGTTGCCTCCGTACAAGAATGAGGAGGCTGCTCGATTTGCCAACAATGGTGCTCTTCCTCCGGATCTGTCTCTTATTATCAAGGCCCGTCACGGTGGCTGTGACTACATCTTCAGCTTGCTTACCGGCTACCCTGAAGAGCCCCCTGCTGGTGTTCAGGTCGCTCCCGGCATGAACTTTAACCCTTACTTCCCTGGTACCGGTATCGCCATGGCCCGTGTCCTTTACGACGGTCTCGTTGAGTACGAGGATGGTACTCCCGCTACCACCTCTCAGATGGCCAAGGATGTTGTGGAGTTCCTCAACTGGGCTGCCGAGCCCGAGATGGACGACCGAAAGCGAATGGGTATGAAGGTCCTTGTCGTCTCTGCCTCTCTGTGGGCTGTCAGTGTCTGGGTGAAGCGATACAAGTGGGCTTGGTTGAAGTCTCGAAAGATCGCCTACGATCCCCCTAAGGAGGTCAAGGTCCGCCGCTAAAGGGGCAACATCTCAAAGTCTCATTTGTATACTAGTCGCCCCTAGAGCAGCTCCTTTGTCAGCGGTGGCGGGTAGAAAAGAAGCCTGGTCGTGGAAGGAAAGGTGGATGTTAGAGTGTAAATCAGATGAATCGTTTTCAATACCTTATTCGACAAACTACACTGGGAAATATGAAGGGGTGATGGGCGGTAAAAATGTGAAAGCTCTCTGTACTCGTGGTCGCCACTTTAACTGACTCCAATATTGGATATATATGATTTTCATGTCCTAGTATGAATAACTAACCCGAGTTCATTGGGTTCTCATCAGAAGTCTTGGTTAAGTTTACTATGGCAACGTTCAACGCCATCCAAGACTTATGTATCTTATACTTTTTTATGTAGTACGGATTTCAGCAAGACAACCGACTAATATGTCATTATTAATACACAACAAATGACGAGTGATATCTGAGAGGTCTTGTCTCGGGCTCACCAGGATACCTTGAAATGCCTTTCAGCAAGGGACGTTCAAGTCTGTGTTATTGGCTTGAGATATAACTATTACATAAGTATCTATACTATCTCTGATTGTAGCCTACCTAGATTCAATTCTTCGACCTAGCAAGCATTTATGACAAGCCGTGAAAACGAATTACAATATGCTGCCATCCATATCAAACCGTTAATGATATGCGTGAATGGTTCCAGCGGTTTGTTCACCTAACGTTAGCCGTCCATGGTTGGCTCAGGCCTCCTCCCTTGCCATTGGACGATAATCAGCTACTAACATTCAATTTCCACTTCATTATCCAAACAGGAACCACTTTTCACTAAGTACCTACTACCTATTAAGGTTACAGCAGGTGCCTCTCTACCTTAGGTACCCTAGTTGACCAGTCACTGTTGCTCCTCTTAACCACTCCCCTTCAATCCTATTTGGTTCTCAATCTCCTCCTCTCACCCCCAGCCCTCATACTCGATCGTTGTCTTGTTCGCCTTTCTTCTAGCGCCGCTGGGATTCTCTGATAGCGTTTTGTTCCGTGTCGGACCTTGCCTACGCTAGTTTCGCTGCCATACTCAATTTTGCCTCGTTGCACATACTTCAGTCCTGCCAAGGACCACACCACGATGCCCTTCGTTGGAGAAGACGCCCACGCAGGACGTAAGCGACGATGGAGCGACGACAATGAGCAGCCCATCTTGTCTCTATACCCTTCAGAGGAGACCAAGGACTATTATATCCTCGACCAACGGCCGGACTCAGCCTTACGAAAGGTCCTCCCAGGTTCGAAGCGAACCCGTATTGCCGGCGACGATATTCACGTTACAGACGGTCTCAACGCTTCCAGTTTCTCTTTCAATACCCCTCACCGCCGACGGCGCTCATCGCAACTTAAGATGCTGCCGGTGCAGCCCGCCTTTGCCATATCTCGAGTGACAGGCTCGCTGCTTGTTCCCTGTAACATCTGCCACCGCAAACCAACCAAGAAATCTGATCTAGACTCCTTCGCCAATTGTGAGGGCTGTGGTGAGCGCACTTGCTTCATTTGTATTAGAGAATGCCATGGCTGGAATCTGGGTGGTGGCTCTGGTGTCTCGGAGCAAGAAGTACTTTCAAGGTCGTTCCACATGGATGATGTTGATGATAGACAGCAACAAGAACATAACGATACGAAGAACGGAAAACGGCAAACGGACAAAGGATGGAAGGCTGTTGGCCACCAGGCTGTTGTTTGCAGTCGGTGCAGCATTGAGTGTGGAGCAGAAGGAGACGTCGCATGCTTGGGCTGCTTCTCCCGGATGGAAGGATCATGAGTCGGAACATGCATGGCATTACGGGACTTTGTGGACGAATAATGATGGTTTTCTTGGGCTTAAGCTGGGCGCACATATCTGCCCTAGGAAAGGTAGTTTTGCAGGGTATTTTGAGCGACGCATCTGCTCTTTTGGATGGTACGGGAATGGACTCATATAAGCACGTTAGCGTTCATGGGCATATTACGGAAACGGTGTTTCGGGTTTTCAGGACCTTGATGGTCTTGTTTTGTGGCATTCGGATTGCAAATGAACCACGGAGTAATTTCACAGTAGATAGATTCTGCAGATATCAATATGGCATCGGGAGCATCACAAACTAGGTCATTGATGCAATTAATTCACTTTTGGGCATGCTTATAGAAGCAATTCGTTCATTGTGACGTCTATGTTCCCGCCATCCAATCGCCCTGTATTCATACACCGCATTAAAATACACCTTGCCTTATGGTGAATATGTCTAGTTGTACTGCATATACGTCGCCGTCGAGTTGAACTTGAGGTTGCCCTTGATGACCTTGTCAACTGCACTGAGGAAGTCCTTCTCGGATGCAACCTTTCTCCTTGCGCGAATGGCATACATGCCAGCTTCAGTGCAAACACTACGCAGCTCAGCACCCGTTGCGTTGGGGCAGAGACGAGAGATGAGCTCCCACCGGATGTCTCGCTCAACGGACATGGATTTAGCGTGGATGCGCAAAATGTTGGCACGGCCCTCAAGGTCGGGCAACGAGAACTCGATCTTTCGATCGATACGGCCAGGTCGCATGAGCGCAGGATCCAATGTAGAGGGTCTGTTGGTGGCAAACATGACCTTGATGTTTCCACGAGCATCGAAACCGTCAAGCTGCGTAATAAGTTCCAGCATAGTTCGCTGAACCTCGTTGTCTCCACCAGCACCATCGTCAAATCGAGCACCACCGATGGCGTCGATCTCGTCGAAGAAAATGATACATGCCTTCTTTGTACGGGCCATCTCGAAGAGCTCTCGAACCATCCTTGCGCCCTCGCCGACATATTTCTGAACCAGCTCACTACCAATAACTCGGATAAAGGTGGCGTCTGTTCGGTTGGCAACAGCTCGGGCACAGAGGGTCTTTCCGGTTCCAGGGGGACCGTAGAGGAGGGCACCCTTGGGAGGATCAATACCGAGGTTGACGAATCGCTCAGGAGACAGTAGAGGCATTTCGACAACTTCCCGCAACTTCTCAACCTGCTCCTTACAACCACCAACATCGCCGTAGGTGACATCAGGCTTCTCCTCCACCGTCATCATCGTAACGCTCGCATCGATTTTGGGTGGTAAGGGAAGCATAATCTGGTACTTGTTCCTGTCGACACCCACGCGCATACCTTCTTCGATATCGGTAGGACTGACGCGCTCGCCAAGCTGGACAACGAATTTTGCGATTTGCTTCACGTTGATCACATATTTGCTCTTGGCCTCGTCGCCCTTCTCGTCAGCTATGATTTTCGTGCAACGTGCCACCTGGAAAGGTTGCTCTTCAGACATTCGCTGACGGTCGGCGGCGACATCCCATAGATGGGGAGGCGCGAGTCCTGTGTCGGATTCCTATCGAAGTTAGAAGACTGCCGTGCATTCGCAGAATTATCGCCTAACCTTGACGCCGATCTTCTCATCGACACTTTGTTGCTTCTCCTTGATCTGCTTCTCGAGCTTCTTGATAGATGTACCATAAGGCGCGGCACCGTACGTCTTGAGAACCTGAATATCCCTGGTGCTGGTGTTAGCGGACTGATGGCACTCTCATTTCCCCAGGAGGGCATTCGTACTCGTCTGTTAGAGGTGTAATCTTCTTCTCTTCTACCTCATCGTCGGCAAAGTTCTTCTGGTACTTCTCCCAATTGGAGCCGGTTGCGGAAGGCTGTTGCTGGCTGTCAGTATGGGATAGGACACAACTAAGCTTGTATGCCTGCAATGAGACTGACCATGATGAGGACCGCAGCTCTCCAATCGTATAATAGTTTTTCAGGGGCTGATATGGGAAGTTCTGTTTACGAAGGCACTGGTGGATAATTTATGATCAAAGAGAGTCGAATTGTTGCTGCTGTGGTCGTGGTTGTTTGGGGTTGGAGGTGTCACCGAATGCCTTCCGTAATCTGTGAGTTGCCTTGAGCGAGCTTGGAGCACGGACCCACGTAATAGTGCCGCTGGAGCCAAAAGCAGACTAGGACGCTTAGAGTTAGCTCAAGGGACCTCTCGGAGCTGGATGATCTCTATCCCCGATCCAAAATTTCTAGGTTGACAATTCTATGGCGGAGTAGGGCAGCCTAGGGGAGGTGGGACATCTCCAAGAAGTCCAGTCGTGTTCCTACAAAGCCCCGCCATCAACATCACTTCTTTGCTTTGAGGATCTAGGGACCGCCAAATTATTATCAAAATATGTCTGCCCCGGTCGCAGCTCCAGCCCCTACAGCGGGAGGCTCCAGCAATGCTACTTTCCGAGTATGAAGAGCTCCAGACAGGCTTTTGAGCTTCACCCCGCTAACTTTGGGCAGGATAAGGAGAAGCCCATGGCGGTGCGCTCCTCGAACATTGTCGCCGCTAGAGGTATGGCGCTTTTGGTTCAACAACCAGCTTCACGAATACTAATGGTTGAGCAGCTGTCGCAGACGCCATCAGAACCTCTCTCGGTCCCCGAGGAATGGACAAGATGATTCGAGGTGGAAGGGGCGAGACCATTATCACAAACGATGGAAATACTATGCTCAAGAGCATGTCTGTCATGCATCCCACAGCAAAGATGCTTGTCAACCTTTCTGGTGCTCAGGATGTTGAAGCTGGCGATGGTACAACATCTGTTGTCGTTATCTGTGGAAGTCTTCTTGGTGCTGCCGACCGACTTCTCTCCAAGGGCATCCATCCTTCCGTCATCTCCGAGTCCTTCCAACGAGCTGCCGCTGCTGCCGTCGAGGTCTTACACGACATGTCCCTCCCAATCACTCTGAGCGATACTTCCTCGTTACTGCAAGCTGCCAACACCTCTCTGTCGTCCAAGATCGTCTCTCAATATTCCAATTTGCTTGGACCCATGGCGGTGAACTCGGTGACTAAGACCATCGACCTCAAGACCGCCGATAACGTCGATCTTAAGAACATTCGAATTGTCAAGCGAGTTGGTGGAACAATTGAAGACAGTGAGCTTGTTGATGGTCTCGTCCTCACCCAGCCTGTGCTCAAGAACGCTGGTGGTCCGGCCCGTATGGAGAAGGCTCGAATTGGTCTCATCCAATTCCAGCTGAGCCCCCCCAAGCCTGATGTATGTCCATTTCTGTTGCATGAGGAATACTTTTTACTTACAATCTATAGATGGAGAATACTATCCAGGTCAACGACTACCGACAGATGGACAAGATTGTTAAGGAGGAGCGATTATACCTCCTGAACATGGCCAAGAAGATTAAGAAGGCGAAGTGCAACGTTCTGTTCATTCAGAAATCTATCTTGCGAGATGCTGTCAACGATCTATCACTACACTTCCTGGCTAAGCTTGGTATCCTTGCTATCAAGGACATCGAGCGCGACGAGGTCGAATTCATCTGCAAGTCAACTGGCTGTAAACCCATCGCTGATATTGATTCTTTCGCCGAGGATAAGCTGGGCTATGCGGACCTGGTTGAGGAGGTTCAGTCTTCTGGATCGCGCATGGTCAAGGTAACAGGCACCAAGTCTGTCGGCAAGACAGTTTCCGTGGTTGTACGAGGTGCCAACTCTCTGATCCTTGAGGAGGCCGAGCGAAGTCTTCACGATGCTCTTTGTGTGGTACGATGCTTGGTGAAGAAGAAGGCTCTCATCGCCGGTGGTGGTGCCCCTGAGATTGAAATTGCTGCACAACTGTCCAAGCAAGCGCGTAGCTTGACAGGCACCGAGGCAATCTGCTGGAAGGCTTTTGCCGATGCCCTCGAGGTGATTCCCACCACGCTGGCCGAGAACGCTGGTCTCAACAGTATCAAGGTGGTGACGGAGCTACGACACCGACACGAGATGGGCGAGAAGAACGCAGGAGTCAGTATCAAGTCGGGAGGAGTCAACACCAATATTTCCAAGGAGAATGTGTTGCAGCCTCTTCTTGTTAGCACAAGCGCGATCGAGCTGGCGGCTGAGACAGTCAAGATGATTCTGAGGATAGACGACATTGCTTTGACCCGTTAGAGTGAGATATCCCCCCTGCAGCATCTGCCTTGGGTTGTATGAAAATACCAAAATGGGTTCTGGATCTGCCAAAAGCATTGCATTTTATAGAGTATGGTGAATCCTATAATTTATTGTGTGGTGATTGAGTTCTTCTATTATGTTGTCTGTGTACTCATCTGTGATTTGTTGGAAAACTGGTGGTGGAGGGCAAGTCCGCTCCTTCCATCTGCTAGCAACCTTGCCTTACGATGCACGAAAGTTGACTCAAGGTACCTACCTGAGGTACCAAGAAAGGCTTGTTCATACATAATATCGAAAACTCCTTTCACCAACCAAATAACTTCAGCTTTACGATATTGGTTTGTGCATTTACTTAGCTACGATCCGTCTCAACCATGGCTGCAAGTGACGAATCAAATTATTCTAGCAATGAGGACGACAATCCCAATTTTGCTGCAAAAGCCCAGGGGCGCCTTTTGCAGGTAAGATTTACGATGTCCTGGCCCCACCACAGGATGTTCTCTGACGCTTTCGATGGCAGTTAAAGAAGGGGCGAGATGAGCGCATGAATGCTATTGTTCAGGAGTCAGCTACGGAGATGGACAAGTTACGCACCAGCATCGCCAGGTTTCAGCAAGATCGACGAGCAAAAGAGTATGCAGTTCAACAGAGTCTTACATTATTTCGGGGATCGAACTGACGATTGGTAGAGTCCGCGCCGTTGCCATTTCTGTGACCAGGATTATTGAAGCAGTAGAGCGCAGGAAAGGCATTGAGCAGCAGATGGAAACACTCGTTTCTCGGCTGATGAACAAGACTCAAGAGGTTGAGAGTATGATAAAAATAGGCCTTCGAGGCAGGGAAGATGATATGAAGAAGACTAAATGACTAGAAACCACAGCTATGCTTTCTTATTGGGGCATTTCATTCTTGGGGGGTCAAGGCAGGCCAGTGGAAATGAGCCTGCAAATGAGCATATGACGGAGATTCACAGTCAACAAAACTCTCAAGCATTCATGAGTTCTTCTCACTGCCCAAAATAACCCAGTGGCCATCAAGGACAAGTCTACAGGAATGCGCATCACTTACAAGTTAAGAGGACATATCACGCCACTGCTGACCATCAATATTTACAATATTCTCCGGAGGGGAACATGCATGGATTGCCCTTTATTCTACATTTATCGTATCTGTTATACACGGTCATATTCTATGCCCGAGGTCATTCCATTGTGTGAAGTTGCTTCCTTTACACCTAGTATCCGAATCCTGACATGCATGATCGGTACTGGTCGATTAAGGATTTGCAGTCGGCGGCAGGATCTTTTGCGTTAGAGAAGAGCATGCACTCATCACGCTTGGCCTTTTCGTCCTTGCACACACAGCAGGGCTTTTAGGGGTGTTAGAATAATAATTGAGAGCCGGTTTGATCACGGAGAAGCTCACCTTGGGCTTGCTAGCAGCTGTGGTGGAAGGGGACGCAACATTTGCGGCGGCGCCCACGGGCGAAGCTATAGAGCCATGTCAGTGTGAATTTAAGGGCAATTGAGTGTTTTGGAGGCTTTAACATACATATTGTTGTTTGAGCTGCGTCCATCGTGTGTAATTTTCATTCGTGGTTGTGAAGTCACAAGTCAAGAAAATAGATCGCCGGCTAAGTTGACCTGAATTTGGTCACTCGATTCCAATGGCGAAATGCGCCAGGGGAGTCGGATTTCTAAGCTCTGCCTGCCTACCCGCTGACCAATCATTTCTCACGGCTCACGTGGAGTCGTGAGGACTTCGCGCTTCTCGTCTGACGTCATTTCTTTACAGTCACGCAAGTAATGCAGTGAGTTAGAGATCTCCATCGCTAAGGTACTAACCTAAGAGTATTCCGACTTGGACTTGGGTACAAAAGCATCCAGCTCGATATCGCGGTTCCAGCTCATTGGTCTTGACGTTTACAAATTACCGATCTGGGAAACAGGTCCCTGTAATTTGGAGCCGGTGTCTTCCGGGGACTGGCATCGCGGGTCCACCCGCTCGCCGGGCCTCACGGATTTACGCCGGCGACAAGGGCAGATTCTCACCCGCCTGGTGACATATCCTGCAACTTGAGTGATGAAGGTGTAGCCACAGCCAATCATTTTACTGACCCTTTCCTTTGTTGGCTCACTACAGGCTTGTGAATCCATCCTGTGCTTTGCTCGAGCCCCTAACTGCGTGGGTCACCGCAAGTTCCATTGAATCTGAGCTGTAAATCGCTTTGTCTTGATGTAAATCTTGAGAAATACCGTGCCCTTCCTCCCAACAGATCATCAGCTGGAGTTCTAGCTATAAAGCCAAAAAGCTCCCGGACCCAGAGCAAACTCGCCAGGCATAAAAAATACGGTCTTCATTCTATCGATACACCAACCTAACCATGCTTAACATTGAGGAAATCCGTGCCCTCGGAAATGTCCATCCAGAATTTGAGCCTGTAAGTTGTTCAATACTCCTAAACATCACAAGTTATTCACAACCTTCAGATCATTAGAGCCCATAACCCAATGCTCAACGGATGGGATATGAACACTGACCTGGAAGCTTTTCGCGAAATGATGGCTCAGGTAAAACAGTATCGACCTAAACCTGACCCGGTCACACTTTCATATCACACCAAAGACTTCAAGATTCCTCTGAGAGATGGCTTTGAAGTTGACGCCAGATCATACATGCCCAATGGTGAAGTGCCGCCTGACGGACGTCCTGGACTTGTTGTCTTTCACGGTGGAGGCTTTGTCGCAGGTGATCTTGACACTGAAGCAGGACTATGTGTCGAGTTTACAAAGCTTGGGGGCATTGCTGTGAATATCGATTACCGCCATGCTCCCGAACATGTATTCCCCCAAGCTATCAACGACGCTTTTGATGCTACTATTTGGGTGAGTGAACCTTGATTCAAGAGGCGAATGTGGAAATACTGAAACCACACAGGTATCTCAAAATGTGGACAAGCTTGGAATCAACCCGTTCAAAGGCTTCATCATTGGCGGTACCAGCTCAGGCGCCGATATCTCTCTGACCGTTTCCCATCTGTATAGAGACGCCGAGACCTTGTACCCCCTGACGGGTGTTTATGCTCCCATCACTTCTGGTGTGAATGATCAGACGGCCCCTGAAAAGTACAAGGAGTACTTCATTAGCTATGAGCAAAACGCCAAGGTCCCAGTGTTTAGCGCAGAGTCGATGAAATTCGTTCACTGTATGCGTGCAATTCTTCCACGCCTAGGCTGTACTGACAAGTTTCACAGCGAAGTATAGACCTGACCCAAAGAGCCCTCTTGCTTTTCCGGTTGCATTCCCCAGCCATGCATGCCTTCCCAAGACTTACTTTCAGGCCTGTGGGATGGACCCTGTCAGAGACTGCAGCATTGTGCTGGAGCAGATATACAAGGACGAGGGCGTGCCCACAAAGATTGACATCTACCCGGGTCTTCCTCATGCGTTCTGGGCTATATTTCCAGAACTTGAGATATCGCAGAAGCGTGAGCGGGACGCCGTCGAGGGTCTAAAGTGGTTGCTGGCTGGGTAAAGACCCTAGGCGACGTCAATCTATAGACGGTTTGTTATTGTTTCGTTTCAATGAGTCAAACAGACATAATGATTGTCGAATCAGCACGGATAGTGTGTGTTTCCGCGCGTGTGAAATGGTTGACGGTTCGGGTGACGTAGACCAGCCGTGTAAGTGGGCAAACTTAACCAGCTGTGGCCAAAAGTACGAATCTGTTTAGATTTTGGACTGAAAGCAGAATAAGAGAACAATTGCATTTAGAAACCATCTAATAATTTGAATATCTGCTAAATTAAAATAAATAAATAAAACAAGTTTCCAGAGAACAGTTTCTGAGAAGAGTGTATTGAGGCTGAATCTCAGTTCAACTGTTCTGTGAAGGAAGACTATCTCTTACACGGCGCGCCTGACCAAAAGTAAATATTGCCGATGTCAAGCTTAATCTCAGAGCCCAGTCAGTCAGCAGACAATTGATTAATTAGAGGCCACGCGGCTGCTGGTAGACTGAGATGGTTGATCTAATCTGATGTGGCGATGATGTGTGCTGTTGCTGAATGACTCAGCAGTCGACTGTAATTAGGGTGCCCGAATCGTCGCTAGTAGGTAATTAATTAATTAATTCTTTGAGCTGCTTTTGCCTTCGAATAAGTTTGGATAGTCTTGTCTGCTTGCAAAGTCGCCGCCATTCGCACATTACGATAGTGCGAAAACACAAACCGGTGCCGAGTTAACGGACTCGGAGTGCGGCCTAATTTATTCGCCCCCGGTGTTTTATTGGTCTCGGGACCGATCATGCTCTCTCAGTCTCTGAAGGCGATTTCAAGGAGATGTGAGTGTGTGAGTGGCCGCGCGGCGGCAACAAGAATGTCCCGAATCAAACGTGTTTGCCTTCTCTGCTGATCCAAATGGTTCGACCAATTCATCCAAGTCTACCTACGTGTGTCTATTGTGCCTAGTCAAGGTTACGATGCGGGTTACGCATGTGTCTAGATCTCGCCTCCTAGCGGATGAGATGCCCCATCTGGCAGCCCGTCTCAATGGAGATTTTTTTTTATATAAATCGTATGTTATGTCGACATTTACAATACATATTTACCACCAGCTTCCTCTACATCATCTACATTCATGAACACTCTTGACCTCTCCTCACCATCATCATCACTACTATAAACCATTCATACTTGATAAGTATTCATCACACAAAATGAGTCGACAACCAAACCCTTTCAACAATGCAAACTTCTGGGATTTTGTTCAGCAGTTTGACCCCAACCAAGCAACTGGCCGTGGAGTAGATCACCAGACTGAGACTCCATTTCCCTCTTTCATGGCGGGTTTCCCCTTTGGTTCGCCAGCTGGGCCTCACCCTCCTCACCCTCCTCATCCTCATGGGCATGGACATGGTCCACGAGGACCTCCTCCTCCCCCCGAGGCTGACGGCTTCGTCTGGGGCCCTTGGTTCGCCGGTGAAGGTGCTCCCGACAGTCGAGCTCATAATGAGCAACGCCAGCAGGCAAATGACACCCAGCAAGCCAACAGAAGTGAAAGCCACGAGTCTGACGAGACCATGAACGTCCCTGACCCGGAAGAAGTTGCTCCTGAGGAGAACCAGTGCGGAGCTCGGCCTGAGTGGGCTGGGCGAGGTCGTGGCCGTGGCCGTGGAGGCCCTCGATGCGGTCGAGGTCGAGGCCGCGGTGGCTTCCCCCATGGTCCTCACCATGGTCCTCATCACGGCCCTCATCCTCCCTCTCCACCCTACGGTGGCCCCTTTGACCTTGCTGGTCTCTTCCGCGGATGGGGCAACCATCCTTTCGTTCGCAACATGCGCGAGCAGTTCCAGGAGAACCAGAACCAGAACCAGGAGCAAAACAGCAATGACTCATCCGACTCCTCCTTCAACCCTCCTATCGACATCTTCAACACCGAGAAGTCCTATGTCATTCATGTCGCCCTCCCCGGCGCAAAGAAGGAGGATATTGGTGTGAACTGGGATGCCGACCGCAACCTTCTTAAGATTGCAGGCGTCGTCCACCGCCCTGGCGATGAAGCCTTCCTCAGCACTCTCAGCTCTGGCGAGCGCAAGGTCGGCATGTTTGAACGCAACGTAGCTCTGCCGCCCACCGGAGCAGACGAGCGTGACGAGGTTGACGGCTTGGGTATCACCGCCAAGATGGAGGACGGTGTCTTGGCCATTACTGTGCCCAAGGCTGAGAAAGAATGGACTGAGATTCACAAGATCGATATTGAGTAAGGACTGGAAAGGTTGGAAACGATATGCTATGATATCCACACTTGTAATGGAGTTTGATAGCTGCTATGGCTTTTGGTCAGTTTCAAGATACCGTCGTTCACT